CCCATTCAGCCTCTGTGGTTTCATTCTCCCTTTCTTCTCGACCAACTTCCATTCCTTCTTCGACCATGCATTCGTTCACTTCATCCACATGCTTTGTTTTGTCCTCACCCCCCTCCTCTTTCGCAACTAAACTCTCTTCGTCTTTCTCCTTCCTCTGACTCTTTTCTTCTACTAAATCCCCCTCAATCCCCTCCTTCCCTTCTCCTCGATTCCCCTCCCCATTTTCCCCAGAGCATCTGGCCTGCTGCGTGTGAACCTCAGAGAGGTAGTGGCGTATATTCTGCCGAGCAGCATGTATCAGAGCTGCGTCGATATCCAGGCCCACAACCCGAGACGGTCGCCAATTTTTGGCGATTGATAGAGTCAGGTGGCCGGTGTTGCAACCCAGATCTAAAACCTCCTTCCCTCTGAACCACTCGGGATTCATAACACGGAAACGAGGATCCTCGCTCAGCCCAGGGTTGCGATAACCATAGTATTTGTTATAGTTGCCATACTGAAACTTCTGTTTAGTCTGTTGTTGGTGCTGGTTGCTCTGCGACCTCCAGTGGTTTGGATGCTGTTGCGGCCTTTCTGCAGATCCGCTGCGAGAGCACGATCCTGGGGTGTGAGAGGGCTGAAAATGCCACCCAGATCTCTGACCCCAATTTCTCATTCCATCTGAACTGTCTGCGTTCTCCAGTCTGCTTCCGGCCCGCCTGCGTTTGCGCTGCCTGCTTGATGGAGGGTTGGTAGACGGAGGTGCGGTTGACATGTCAATGGTTTTCTCCTTCACCTCACCACCGTTTGTGGTTAAACTGGGCTTATTTGAACCCTGAGCCTCAAGAGTCGAGTCCGACTGGGTTTGGTCCTCAGGAACAAGTGTGTCCGCCACAGCGCCGGAGTGCGGAGGCGTTACAGAGAGTGCTGTTGTTCCCTCATCTTGTCCTGCTGCACTGCCATTAGACTCTGGTAAATCGATCTGTGCGACTATTCCTTCACTAGAAGCTTTCCCAGCGCTCGCTCCATGGTGCTTGTTCCGATGTCTTCGCCTGCCTCCGCCACTTTTCAGGGGAGACACCAACAGACTGCTGTCCCCTGCACCGGGGCAGTTGAGATTCAGGGGGTCTGTGATGTCTCTGGGTATCAGGATCTCTACAGGGTCTCGGCTTTTGGCTGGCAATGGTGAGGACTTGGGCGTCTCTGCGTTGAGAGCCCGGTTCACCTCTTCATCCAAAAGGCTGTTAAGGTTGAGTGGGTCAAAAATGTTCCCGCCCAGCAGGAAATTGGTTGGCAGGACCGACTCGCTCTCAGAGTTGGCACGGCGGCGGCGTTTACCATAACCGGGGTGTTTGAATCCAGCGCTCATCGTGCTGCGCCGCTTACTGACTTTCTGCTGTTGAGGTTTGGGCTGCTGGGTGCCATTCTGTGCAGACGATTCGACCCCAGCAACCCCACTTATAGCACTGCTATCTGTGGTAGCGGTTTTCTCTCGGTCTTCCAGCGATGTCTCACTCCCTGCCTCTTCGCTGAGGTTTATAACCGTGGTCTTCCCAGACGAATGGAGAGTGCTGGTATCGTTTCTAGTCAGTTCTGAGTGCTGTTCTGAAGTGGGGTCTGTTTGCCCCTCACAAGATAAAACAGTTTCTTTGTCAAATGACATCTCTATCATTTTTCAGGCCGACACTGGAGGAGGCATGGGTCTGAAATGAAAGCAACAAGCAATCATCCACAAAGCCAAATGCACATACAATTATTTACAAAATCATTACTATACCTACTCAAAAGATGGTACTGCTTTCCTACCGGAATTTCACCATTTAGATCTGAGATCAAAAGATCCTAATTTGTGGCTATATATATATATATATATAAAAGCCACAAATTACCTATTACCTAAGTGCACAATTAGCAGATTAACTGAAATGATTCTGCCTAGCATCAGGTCCTATTTATTTATGCATGTATATATGCATGCATGCATGCAAATCTTGGGAAAATAGCATAGGTATTTATTCAAATTTAGCTAATTTGTGTACATCTCATGATGTAACTTTACTTATATATTAGGCAAATTATATAATATATATATATATATATATCAAAATATCTAAGAATTTTTTTTTTTTAAGAATACAAAGTTCAAGAAGACTATTAGGATTCCCAATATATATATATATATATATAGTAGAGTTTACAGATATTCACACAATATAATTCAACCAAACCCCAAGAAAGATTTCTAAGAGAAAAGACTTAGAATTTCAGTTTACTGATGGGTGCTAAATTATAGTAGAAATGACTAAAACAAAATCCTACAGATAGTCGTTTAGGTTTTTGACTACATTTAGCTCAACTGCCATTATATAAATCTAAACTATTTAACCCAAAGGCAAATTAAACCGAAAATAAAAATATATTTTTTTTACATAAAATATAAAAAACGCATTACTTAAGACAGTCCGACGAAAGAAGTGCTTTGATGTCACGAGCTCCTGACAGTAGGTCAAGTGTGCACACAGAAAGTAAAGGTTTGGTCAGCGCTCGCGAAAGGTCCACCCACCTTCAGAGTCCGCGCGCCCGCCTCCAAACAGCACTCATGAATAATACACAACACGAAGACAACAGAAGAGAGAACACACCGACACCGAACCAGGACCTCGAGCGCAAAACAACACAGTCAGGGGACACGCCCCTTCTAAACAACGCTTAGCGAAACACACACGAACACTGTTTGAGAAAGTCGGCAGGCTGTGTGGAGGAACTGATCACAACGGTCGCGTGCTGTTTATTGTTTTAACCCCTAAACTGCTGCACTTCACAACGCGCTGCGGAGCCGGAGTCTCGCTGACTGCGAGGAACGGGGCTTTCGGCGCCTTATATAGTCCCGATCGCCTGATGACGTCGCGATAGGCAGCTGCAACAGCCAATGGCGCGCGCGTATTCTGGAAACCCTCGTTTCACTGTCCAATCATGGAATGCGGAGGGCGGGATTAGCCTAGATTCGACTTTTTAGGTGCTCTAAATATGCGCCTGCTCATAAAAAGTCAACGTTATTAAACTGGCTTCATCGCCGCTCTCGTTTGAACCTCCTGACGCTTGTTTAATTTTATTGCGTTATGATAAGACAGCAGGTTGGTTCGTGTGTGTTTTAGACTGTTGTTTATACACTGCACACTTCCTCACAGGCACGCACAAGATGCCCTATTTGCTTTTCTATCCAGCGTGTAAATAAACTACATTTTTGCCAGTTGATTGACTGGCAGTATCCTCAAATGCACATTCTGCAGCTGACTACTTATCAAGCACGAGCTTCTTAACTATTGCTTGTATTTTAATGTGATTAAGCTGTAAACAGAAGCTTTGTGGCGTGCATGGCGACTAAAGTCACTGGGATTTGTAGTCCCAGCGCACTAGCTCGTGCACAATTTTGTAGTCCTCAAAGGCACAAATATAAGCTAAATATATACGTAAATAAAAAAAGACACTCCTGTTTTAACAACTCACAAACACCGTTATACCATCACCAACAGTTCATCCTGTTCAAGTAGCGGCTGTGATAGTCAGAAAAAGTATAAATGAACTATCTATCGATGAGATTGTCAAGTAGGCCTACCTATTTTTGATTTCCTGAGATGCCATAAAGGAAATTATATATCAGCTGAGATGTAAAAAAAATCTGGTTCCTATTGGTGAGAGCTGATGCAGCATTTTCTGTTTGTAGGAGGTGGATACATTATAACAGTAAGTCTCTTTGATCTATATATATATATATATATATAATGGAACCCGTCAACAAACAGCCTATAGGCAAAATTAAAACAGTTATGAAAAACAAGACAATTCATGAAACGGCAAATCATATATTCATAAATGCATTTATTTGCGCCGCTCTTACTTTTATGAAATTTGTAAAAACAACCTTTATACTCCGTTGACTTCTGGCTGAATGCATGCTGTTGTGGCTTGTATTCATTTGTGAAAGCAACACACAAAAACCACTGCTAGATGAAACATTTGTAAATCTGACTCACCAGCTGTTAGTACAGGACTTGACCATTAGGCCTGGTCTCTCGGAGTATATCACCTGTACACTGACAGAGGTTTTCTGCAGGTGAATGCATTGGTTGGTGACATGTCGTGCAGTGGGACATGCTTCGTTTTATTTCATTTTAAGCATTTATTTTATTTGTGTAATTATACATGCAACTTTATGACATCATGAAAGATTATAAGTACACTGTTTTTGCCTTATATATATTCTTAAAATTTTGTTTTAGATTTGTTTTTTGGACCGTGAAATGTCAATAACTGCAGGTATATTATTTAATATAAAATAACTGTTTTATATTTTGTGTAATTACACATGCAACTTTGCGACCACATGAAATTCATGCCAAGTATGCTGTTTTTTGCCTTATATATATTCTTAAAAGCTTGTTTTAGATTTTTTTTTTTGTCCATGAAATATCCATAACTGGAGGCATATTATATAATATAACTGTTTTATATTTGAAAGTATTTTAAGATTAATTTATTGCTGTGATCAAAGCTGAATTTTCAGCATCATTAGTCCTCAGCGTCACATGATCTTCAGAAATCATTCTAATGTGCTGATTTGCTGCTCAGTTATTATTGGTACTCAATTATTAATATCCTTAAATTCTTACTTTTGAATGGTATAGTGAATTATGGTTTCCAGAAAAAAATATTAAGCACCAAAACTCTTTTTCAACATTGATAAGAAAATGTTGCCTTGCCATTACAAGAATAGAAAAGTTATTTTCTATTCTTGTAATAATATTTCACAATATTATGGTTTTTACTGTATTTTTGATCAAGTAAATACATTATTGGTGAGCAGAAAATACTTATTTTAAAAACATTAGCTAGATAGAAATAATACAAATTAACAAAATTATATAGATTTATTTAGTAAAAAAAATGTACTGTTAAATTACAATGTACAATAGGGACAAAATAAATATATATATACACAATTTGTATACAATAAAGAATTTCAGATATGAAAGTAGAATGGTTCTGCAAAGAAAAAATGTGATAGCGGGATTTGAGTTGAAGCAAAAACTGCAAACACATACATGAGCAATAATAACAACCGAGTCACGTATGATTATCACAGAGCTCCTAATGTTTCTCACTCGCCTTCACTTGTACTCATGCACAGGACCCTCGCTTCCATTTCTTTTCCATGTGAAGCCCACAAGCCTCCTCAATGCCTGAAGGGAGATCTGATGGGAAGATGTTGCTCGAAGTGTTTTGGGTTTTGCTCACCAGGGCCTCCACACAGACTGTGGCTGGCTGTGGAACAGAGCTCGTCTCAGAGCCCGGGGTTGGCAAGAGGGAGTCGAGCCAGTGGGTCGCACTCGAGTGGGGGAGCCCACCTGAACATGAGGTCCTGGGACTATAGGCACGGCAGGGGTTGAGAGACTGAAAGATGACGAGGAAGAGTCACTGGAGAGTGGAGAGATGGTGGGAGGGAAAGGGAAATGGCAGGGGACAGAGAGGTATGTGGGAGAGCTGCTTGAGTAACAAGGAGAGGGTGGAGGAGAGAGGGAGTATGGAGGGGAGAGGTAGGGATGTGGCATGGCCTGTCCTGTGGGATGGAGCATAAAAGATTGAGGATACAAACTATTGGTGTAGGAAAATGGCTCAGCGTTGGCTCTCATGGGTCCTATCACAGGGACGTCCGTCCTGCATGTCAACTCTGCATTTGGGATCCACGGGTGGTGGGCAGCTTGGCTGGAAACTCTACACTGGGAAAGAGTACTGCTGTAGGAGTCAAGGTGGTGACACAGGCCTTGAACGAAGCCGTCTCGCTGGGAAGGCTCTACACATTCGATGAAGCTGGCCAGGCGGGAGACACACTCCTTAAAACCAGCTTTGTAGATAGGATTGGAGGGCATCTGCTTCTGGACACTGATAGACTCGGGGACTGAAGCGAAGGGTACGTGGGGTCTCGTTGAGAGCAGAGTCGGAGCGTTAGCATCATGAGGGTCCGAGTCTTTGTTAGAGTCGCCTGAGGTGGAGGGTGAGGTTAAGGAGAGCCGAGAGGCATGGAGGTAAAGGTGTACAAAAAAGGAAAAGTGTTTAGGTGAGAAAGAACAACATGAGATGTTGATTTAGGGTTGTTATTGAAGGTTCATTCAAAGGAACGTTTGAGAAGAGAATCAAGAAATGGAGGGGAAAAAATCGAGAATTTAAGCAGAGTTAGAGGAGGAGGGTTTTAGGAGAAAAAGAAAATGGGTTTGGTTCATTGATCGCCAAAATGAAAAGTCAATATATGGTTAGATTTAGGAATTGAGGATAATAAAAACAGGAGGGGAAAGAGACAGAGACAAAATAAATTAGACTCGTCAAACTCGGCAGCATCATGTGTATAGCTAAAGTCAATCTACACTCTAAAAAATGCTGGGTTAAATGCAACCCAGTGCTGTGCAAAATAGGAACAAACCCAGCAATTGGGTTGTTTTGACCCAGCGCTTGGGTTACTACCCAGAAGGATGGGTTAAACATTTAAACATTTAACCCAACCGCTGGGTCAAAACAACCCAATTGCTGGGTTTGTTCCTATTTTGCACAGCACTGGGTTGTATTTAACCCAGCATTTTTTTTAGAGCTTTACACAAATATAAGGCCACAAATATGATGTTTATAATAAAATGTGGGAATAAGCACACTCTTTTAAAATGATTTAAGTATAGACAGAAAACTTACCTAGACGACCTCTCGCAGCTGTGGCTTTCGTCCGAATGTATTCAACAGTTAATTCCAGAATTTCAGCCTTCTCCAGTTTGGGGTTTTGAAGTCGCTGTAAAAGCGAATGCAAATGCATTATGCTACTGAAACATTTCACTAGCCTACGTTTAAAAGAACACATTCATATCAAAAAAGGGAGAGATGGATTAAAAACGGGATTTCTGTTCTTACCGAGTCTAGAGTGTTGTCCAGGAGGAGCGTTCGCAGCTCATCTAAACGCTGGTTAATCCGGTCTCTCCGTTTCTTCTCTATTACGGGTTTCAAGATCTAGACGAATCACGTTATAATTTAAATTTACATTTCAATCGGACCCTCGTGAGGCTATTAAAAAACTAAAACTTTAGTTTGAATTAAGGGTCTCCTTAACACTTTTTTCATGCACCTGTCAAATTTGAGATTTTGGGCTTTTTGGTTTTTCTTAAAGTGTTTTTTCAGACTAGTGGAAAGAAAACATCAGAAAGACACTGTTAAGTGTTCCTTTTATAGCACTTTATCTATCTGTGTCAATAGATTTCAATTACAATGCATATTTTTAAAGGCCGTTTTCTCAAAATGAGTTTTTTTCTCCAACACTGAGTCATAAATCTCCATTTCAGCAGCACTTATACACACCAAACTTTACATTTTTATCCCTGTCTATATCCTGAAGGGTTTTACAGAGGGATTTGTTCATATATATTTTGCTTGATTATGTACACAACATTTTATTCCCCAAAAATTTGTTTTTGGGGAATTATGAATTATGGAGTGACAAAAGTGAGATACCCAAAATTCCCTCTGTAAAAACATTTGACTCTAATATGTCAAAAAAAATTAAACAAGAATTTTGAAACTGGCATAATCCAGTGTTAGGATTTTTGTACTACACTAAAAAATGCTGGGTTGTTTCAACCCAAGTTTGGGTCAAATATGGACTAACCCAACTTTTGGGTTAAAAACGGTTGGGTTAGTCCATATTTGACCCAAAGTTGGGTTGAAACAACCCAGCATTTTTTAGAGTGTAGAAAAATGTATGCAAATTAGCGCATATTTCATTAATTTGGGTTAAAAACGGTTGGGTTAGTCCATATTTGACCCAAAGTTGGGTTGAAACAACCCAGCATTTTTTAGAGTGTAGAAATGTATGCAAATTAGCGCATATTTCATTAAATAATGACTCATTTGTATATTTTAAAAAACGTGTAATACAAAATTTTTTGCAATTATCAATGCAATCAATCAGCTGGGTAAGTAAGGTGATAGCTATTAGTTTTGACCCTATTCGCCTGCAGTGTCTCGCCTTAAAATAAAAAAGGTGAACCTGAGAAAGTTTAAAACTCTAAATCCTCATAAAGGCCCCATTAAGAAAGAAATATCACAGAAGAGAAACAACGCATTTGACTACAGGCTACTCACTCTTTTCGCTGGTCGTCGACTTGCCATTTTTGGAGTAACCATGATCTGTCGAGGAGTATGAAAAAACGTATATTCCCGTTGGTCTGTGTTTCTCGAGGAAATGATGCTACTGTGGTGGAGGGCCTCGCAAACTCTTGCCTTTATTGGGGATGCTGGCTTGTCATTGGTGATGAGGTGTCAATGACGCGTGGTCGCTTCCCCCCTCAGTTACCCTTTTAATATATTCCAAGATAAGAAAATATAAATCGATTAAGTTAACAGTAACCATTGTTACATGCGAAAACTGAATTAACAGTAAAATGCTATAATTCGTCTTAAAGCTTCATATGTGGACATAAGCGCATGAAAATAAAAAGTGCATGCATAAATCGTAGAAGTTTGGTTACGTAGCCATAGAACGCTTATGATTATATGGACTAGTTTGTTCGTTTTATTGCGCCAATAAGTCAATACAAAGCCATTTCAATGCATTTTGAACGCAAAGTTGACACTCAATTCACCAAAACGCTCCTCCCGTTCAGTTCATGACCTTTAACCACAAGCAGACCTAGGCTACTTTGTCATTATCCAACGATTCTTGAGTTACGCGTTCAAAGCCGACGGTGTTTAATTTTCCCTAAAAGCTCGGCTATTAACGATAAAAAGATGTCTCAACGCGGTCTATGCACAAATGTTTTACTACTTTTTAGCTTCATATGCTATAGCCTTTATTTTGTTCAGTGTTGGCTAATGATGCTCTATGATTATTTCTCACTACTTTGTTTTATTGAAAGCATATTTTCTTAAAACCAAAAAGCCCTGTTTAAGTGCTATGGGACTCTTCAGGTTTTTCTCGTGGGAACAGAATATTATGGCACGGCAAATGTGTAAAAACGAACACCGCCAGACTAGAGTCCTCAAACCTCTCGGAGGCGCTTAGATTTTCATTAGGTGCTCAACGATTTTCGTGCATTGCCTTCGCACCTGAAGCGGGTCGACGCTCATAGAGATGCAGTGAAGAAACGAATAAACACCAAATAAACATAGCTGACTGGTCTAAACTTGAAATGCGTAATTAAATCTCTAGCCTACTTAGCATGCATATATTAAAGTAGAACTGTGTTCATCATTATACAGTTTTAATATGCTAAACATGCGTTCGAGATTTTGCTTTTCCACAGTGAGTGTAGCCTACTTTAAACAAAGAAAGGAAATAATTCATAATGAGAAAGTCTAAGCACACTCACACTCTAGGCAAAGCAAATATGTTGCAAAACGCCACTTGGTAATCTCTGATGGCATGCTTACCAAGTACAATAACGTCAAATGGATGAAATGTCGCTAAGGTTGCTTTTCCTGAATTGACAATTTTGCCTATACTAAATTATTGAATTGGCCATGTGGTGCTTCACTTTTTGACCCCTGCATGTGCATCATGCCTCATGACCAACCTTAAGAAAAATCCCGTGGGAAAGTTTAATGTTTGGTCAAGCGGAGTGGTTGCATACACACCCCTTGCTCATAATTCCATTAGTATTATGATTCTTTTGACACGTCTGTTTATTAACAGTGAATCTGGCGTGAAGTCTGCTATGGACAAACGGACGCGAACATAGGCTACATTGCAGTCACAGCACGCTTGAGCACGGGGAGGACATGACTAGGTTTGCAATGGGGGAGGTCACTTACAAAAAACTAATACAACAATCAAAAGTTGGCTTTAGTTCACTGCTATTTTTTAGTGTCAAAATCTCAGTATTGCTCAAACTAAATGACTGTCTTATGATACTTGATTTTAAAAGTTAGGCTATTCACTTTTAAGACTGCATAAAAACGAAAACTCGTGGTATTGATATGCAAAAATGGACTTTGGCGTGCATGTGATACGCATGTGTTTGGCGTGCATATGATACGAAATTAGTTAACGTGCATTTAATACGCAGTTTTCGCGTACATATGATACGCATCTACACCACAACCCTAACCTACCCATCGCGTAGCATATACAAGCCAAAGTTCATTTTGCATATCAATACCACGAGTTTTCGTTTTTATTTGGTGTACTATTTATACGCACTTTCATGAGATCGAGTTGAGTTTAGGCTGCATACGGAGAAATATCATGACTTATGTAGTAACTTTCTCAGGTCGCCTTAATAGTTAATTTGACGGAAATCGGGCTATGAAGTTGCTTTGTATGGAACGTGCAAAGTGTTGCAGTAATTTAGAATAATTTCACCTTTCTCCAATGCAAAACCATTATGTTGGTTTCTGATAGCATCCGCACTGTCTGATGGCCGTCGACCAATTAGTCAAATGCAAAACTTAGCATAAGCTCACCTGCTGGACCATTACTGAACAACAGAGCAAACGGGCACGTGGAAACTCTCGGCACCTGAACGCCTGTTGCACAGAGGTGTGAATTAGCCACGCTTTCAGCATGGTGTGAGCACGTGTTTGTAGAGGGCAAGTAAACGCGATCGAAAAGTCTGGAACAATAATAGCCCATGACAGGTGGCAAAGTAACCCGATGGACAGAGCTGGGTAGATTACTTACAAATTGTAATCCGTTACTGATTCCAAATTACATGACACAATTGTAGTTTGTAACGTAATCCACTACATTACGCATTTTAGGTAATATAATCAGACTACTTTTAGATTACTTTTGACCTAACTTGTTTATCACATTGATTTAAATAGGATAATCTTGTACCAAATTGATAGAAAATACAAAGAGTAAGAAAATGTATTCCATTAATTGTAATTAACAACATTAAATTAGTGCATTAAACATTAAATTACACTACATCAAGGTTTCCAAAATTGGGTTCGTAAAGGAACCTAGGGGTTCGAGTTCAGTGAAAAACTAATGATTCATTAAATCATAAAAATGTAAAATAAATAAATCATTTTAAAACAGCATCAATCAAAACACTTACTAACAAAATTAACTATTTTATGTGTTTACCTGCATGTCAGGTGTCCATTAACCACCCTCAGAAAACCGTGAACATTCCAGTGTGATTTAATTATTTAAATATTTATTTTAAAATCTCAGGGGTACTTCAAGTAAATATTGGGTGAAAGAGGTTGAGGTGACAAAAAACGTTTGGGAATGCAATACATGTAAATAAGAAATTGCATGAATTTAATGTTTGAAAGACAAAAGCCTTACAAAGGCACAGTGATGCATGGTTAAATAACCCACTGAGCGATAATTAAAATAAAAATGTATGTGTTCATCAGTAGCTGATGCAATGTTGAAACACTTCTTAAACCTGAAATTATTTTTTGTAAATCCAGTGTTGCCTCCTGACTAGTGACTGATCTCTGTGTGAATGTCCATAAAACTGGAAGACTTTCTGAATGCAGTATATAAGCGGTAGGCTATTTTAGAAAGGAAATGTTAAAAGGTGAAGAAGAGGAATTAGGCAGAATCAATAAATTATGAATTATGCATCCAGCAAGTAGAACGTTCTTAAGTCGAATTTTAGTGCGTCAGGGAACCACGCGGAACTTGTTCAAAATGTTGCATGTCTAGGTGTTGGAAATGGCGCGAAATAACTGCTAAAGATATGTCATTTTTTAATTTGGTAAGACAGGGATTCAGAAGTATTGATACTCAAACTCTTTAATAATCAGTTATAAAAGACAAACATGCAATGTAAGAGGCTGCTGTTATCAACCACTTAGTTGTGTTCATTATGGATGGAAAACAGACCTTGCCTACTTTGTGTTAATATAAAGAGACACTTCGTGCATTCATAGATCATCTCTGCCTTGAGGTCTAAACGCCAAGTAGCATCTTTCTGTATATGTAAGTGTTTTCCACTAGAGGGCCTCAGTAAACTTCCAATTGTTCTGCAAGATGGCTTAAGACAGGAGTGTCGAACTCAATTCCTGGAGGGCCGGAGCCCTGCAGAGTTTAGATCCAACCCTAATTAAACACCTGATCCATCTAATCGAGTCCTTCAGGCTTATTTGAAAACTACATGGTATGTGTGTTGGAGACACCCCTGGCTTAAGACAAGTGGTTTAGTGCTACTAAAGATCTGCCTTAGCTTTAGTCATCTTATTGTGTTTACAAATCAGTGATGGGAAACATTGCAGGTCCATTTGCCTCTAAAGAAGCAACTTTTCCACATATACGACCTGCTTAATAAAAAGTAAAAACCTTTTTTTTACAAAGTTAGCACAAATCTTTGAATATGTGATAGAGTTAATTCAATACTCCAAAATATAAACCAATTATTCCCATCAATATTTGGATGACATGTCCCACTAAGAGTTTATTAGTGCATAGCTCACTGAGTTCAGTTTGTCACTAGCCAAACTTAAACCCCAATTAACCATAGTTTGTGTCATACTGACATGGGAAATCAGCAAAAATGACACTGCTGAACAACAATTATGATTGAATATTGACGTGAATAAATACATAAAACACAAAACAGAAACACAAAATAGATGCATGTAATAAAGACCAAGTTCCAGTAAAAGTCCTTTATGATATCTTCACAGTTTATCATTATGGGTGTATTTTGGCACAGCTGATTGGCAGTTCCTCTCTGAGGGTGTAAAATAACTTATGAAAGTCCAAAAACAAGTGCACAATGAGCTCCAGAAAACTAGGAAACAATATGGCTTTGAAGGATTGTTTGGGAAATACTTGATGTAGCCTATAGCTATTACTGAAGACATATTCATATGATATGCTATATGTATGTGTGAATGAGATGCATGTAGCCTATTACATTCTTCGAAGTAAATCAACTAACCTTTAACAAATTATTTGCTAATGATACATTTTTAATTATTTATTTTATTGCCTATATGTGCTCAATAATTTGAGACATTGTTTAGTGTTATATGCAGTTCCCGTGGGAAGTGAAAGAGCACACGTCCTTCTCTGTGAGAAGCTATTCTTATAATGGTTCTGTTGACACATCTTGTTAACACCCAATGTGTGTCGATGTATAGCCTACAAGTGTTCTGTTTGGATGCCGTCGCCGCCTGCTGCTGGTGAAGAAAAGAGCGTTTAATCCATAGCTGCCAGACCTGCTGTTTAAAGCAAGATCGAGTTATATTCGAGATCAATAATATAATATTCTCTGTAACTATATTCTAGAAGAGTGGTCGCTTTAAGACTGTGCATTTGCCTTGGTTGCTGAAAATCAAGCTCGGGCGACGGGCCACTCTAGTCAAACTTTCATTTCATTGATTTAATTGGGTGGGTTTTAATTGAATTTCATTGGGTTTCATAAAATTGTATATTTGGGCTTTTTCAAATGTTGCAACATAACACTAAGTAAAACTAAGTTCACACTTAGTAAAATATGTGTTCTTTTAACAAATGATCATTGAAAGGTTCCTTGAGGATTCCAAAATCAATTCGAAAACCCCTTTTTGGAACGTTTATTTTTAAAAGACCTGCTTTACATTTTTGTGCGCTTGCGTAAATATTTAAAACTTGACAATAGCCACCAGGTAGGAGTGTTATGATGGGAACCAGCTATTAACCACGCTCTCCCAGTAACACGGATTGCAGACACCTTAGCTTTATTACCTGTCAGAATTTGTGCATTTTAGCTGAGCACAGAGAAGGTTCCCAGTTCCCACGCTTCTCTCCAATGAACACGAGAACTCAGTGCAGACTGCGTTCACATTTAGTCGTCATTTTCATCACTTTGGTGGTGTTTGCCATTAACCATTTATACAGACGGCCGTCCACAAGGTCATGAAGTTAATGTGTGTACGTAGAAGTTTTGCGGATCGATATTCCTTCCCTTAAGACTGATCTAGAACGGTCTTTTTTCCTGCACGTTTTTCATGTTCTACTCAAGGACATTCGTTAGACCAAGCTTGCACACACAAGGCGAAGGTTAAAGCAAATGACACGCGACCATTAAAGTGTGAGGGTGGATGTGTTTGCCAGAATAAGAGAGGCGCAGGCGAGACGAGATGGTCCTTCTAGGGAGATTATCATATTATGCATAGGCCTTTCTACGTAATTCATTTGAATAAACTATAACTACAGTGCGGAATGATTAATCTGCTGACTGTAATAAAGTCAGAAAACCCTATTGCTTAAAAAAAATCAATAGAAGGTTTATGAGAAACCTCTCAGGACACAAATAGATAAGCAAACCTCAGTATTTCGTTTCAGCCATTTCAACCCGATCTCATGAATATGCGTATAAATAGTACGCCAAATAAAAATGAAAACTCGTGGTATTGATATGCAAAAATGGACTTTGGCGTGTATATGCTACGCGATGGGTAGGTTTAGGGTTGTGGGGTAGATGCGTATCATATGTACGCGAAAACTGCGTATCATATACACGCCAAACGCATGCGTATCATATGCACGCCAAAGTCCAGTTTTGCGTATCAATACCACGAGTTTTCGTTTTTATTTGGCGTACTATTTATACGCAAATTCATGAGACCGGGTTCGCCATTTCGGGAGGTTGGCTTGCGGTACTATTCGGCACACTTGCTGTCAAGAAAATTAATTTCAAATGCTCCAAATATAGAAAATGTCTCAATATGCATGGCAGTGATGTATCACCTAAATTGAGAACAATGAACTTTAATTCAGGGATGTCGCACAAAAGGCATCAAAGGGCGTGCAATTGTGTAAATATTTAAAATTCGCCCATAACCAACAGGCAATCGTTTCAAAAGTGCTACGATGGGAACAAGCTATAGCCACGCTCTCAGTAACACGAAACACTTACACCTCACCTAGAAACACAGACTGACACCTCAGTCCTTTTTTTATTAGCCTACCTGTCAGAATTTGTACATTATCAACAGACACGGGGAAGGTTCCCACGCTACTCTTCAATAAACATGCAAGTGCATGGGAAGCGCAACCTGCGTTCACATATAGTCTCCATTTTCATCACTTCCATAGCATGAGTGTTTAACTTGCGCTGCTGCATCAGGTCATGAACTGACTGGCTGTTACTGTCTTTCTGTTTTCACCTTTTCCTTTGTTTGAAGCGTATCCCCAAAAGTAATATCAGTAATAGCATGGCGAGCGATTACCAGTGGTCTTGAGCCATAGTGGCATGGTTATTTGTTAGTCACTCGGTTGAAAGAACGTTTTTTTTTTCTTGCTATTTATGTCCAGCAACCTAATAGCCAACTGGGCTGTCCAGTGAACAAGCGACCGTACATTTATGTGGGAACTGCATTAAATTAATCGTTCCAGATTCGAGGACGAGGAGCGACGTTTTGGCGTTAGGAAAATATGCAGCTTCAGTATTTTCGGAAAATTTCTATGCAATAGAGTCTATTTACATAGGCTAGTGATTTCAGTTGCATGAATAATCACGAAACCCATCTGCTTGCTTTTCACATGTGCTTGCTTTCATATGCACGCGTGGAAACTCTCCACACGCGTCGCGTTGTTCACAGGTGTGAGGTTGCCACGCGGCACGCGCCCTC